GCAATAAAAAAAGTCGCTGCCCTTGAGCAACCCCACCAAACGCAAGTTCCAGTCACTGGTTATTGAACCTATTCGGTAGCGGACGGCTGAACTGGCGTTTGTCCAATCGGTCAAAGACGTGGTCGATAATACGAAGTGTAGCGTAACAACCGATGTAGTCGGAAGATCCCTTTACTAATGTTGAAACCTAGCACACAAATCGCATCCAATATGCTCTCGCACGGCACAATTTGTGTCCAGATCCGCTAAACGGCGAACGAGGAAGGGCCAACAGGAGTCGATGTAGAAATCGTGAGACGAGATCGCTTCGGTAGGAAGGTGTCCACAGGAGGTTTCTAACCGATTCGTTCGACGTGCTTGTTGTAAGACTGGCTACAATAAGCACTCGCGGTGTGCGGTTATGATATTCGGGCCGTCGGAGAATCCAACTGCGCTGCCTCTTGGCTTGGTGTCGTATCGACGATCACGTAAAGAATCGATATACGCTGGTGTTTGCGAGAGAACTCGGTTAACCTTGCACCTTCGAAAGCGTTAAAGCGTAAACGAGGCGCGACTTGCACGTGGCAAACAACCGCTACAGAACTTGGTGGGTTTGAAGATTTGCCAGGTACGGAAGGGCAAGAGGGAAAAAAAAATGTAAGGAGCTGCGACGGAAAAAAGTTCGAGGCAGGACCCGTGCGGAGAAAACAAAAAATAGACTGAGCAAGAAGAAAGTGATCAACGATCAAATTAACTTGTCAATGAGGAGGGAAATGGGCAGGAAAAAGAAAAGTAAGGTAGACGGTGGTCCCGCTGAACACAAGGATACCTCTGTCTGTGTGTGAAGGAGGATCTCGGAGAACGGAAAAAAAGGCGCACTGCAGAAATGGAGCACCACCTCACTATAGCAACACGGGTCACGGGTAACCGATGGAGGGAACAACAGGGAGGGACAGAATCCCAAAATGTTGGAACAGTGAAGAGGGGAGGGGAGGGGGGGAATAGAGAAGAGGGGGGTTAAAGGGGAGAAACAAGAAGGAAGAGAGAAGAGAGAGAAAGAGAGAGAGAGAGAGAGAGGAAGGGTAGAGACTGTGTGTGTAAGAGAACGAAAAATAATAATGGAATAAATCACTTACAGGCCGGAGGGACGTGGAAAAGCCGAAGAAGGCAGGCAAGAAAAGTAAGTACTAGTCAGAATTGTGGAATCCGCCAACAGAGGGTTAATTAAAAAAAAAAAAAAAAATTGCACAGGAGGTTTCTACTTTCAAGGTACAGTAAAGTAATCGAGTTTTCCGCATGTAATAACACCATTGTCTTGCCAAATAATACGGGTATCAATGGTACCTAGTTTGTACCATGATTCCTACAGTTCCGAACAGCAGGACGGGCTCTGCTCAACCAAGGGCAGAAAAGAGGTAAGGGCGTAGGAATTAAGTCCAGAAAATCACAGAAAAAAAGTGGTGAAAATTGTTATTCCTGCCATATACCCACATCGTCGTCTCACGATGTGGTTCGTGGACTCCAGGGTTTCTGTGGGTATGAACCGGCCTTTCACTTGTGCTGGAGGTAAATATTCCGGGTAAAGATCTGGAAGTTGTATGTAAGTACCAGCAGATGAGTTTGCATTGCTAATGAATTTTGCTGGATTTTGATGGCTGTTCTCATTAGATTCTTTAGATCGGAATTAAGGCCATTGCAAATAAAAGAAGAGGTGGAAATATTCAATAAAGTATTTTCAAATCGAGTATTTGTACTGCTATCGGTATCCCTAGATATGAGTCCGCCCATAACTATCATGCGGGCCGTATTATTACCAACAACCAGTGTGGTGGTAAGAGTAGTATAACACGCATTTCTGTCTCCAAACCAAGTCTGTCTTAAAGTCAAGCTTATGAAATTGAAGGTCGGGAGAATGCGTGGGTGGCAGCTTACCTCCCCCAGCCAGTCATCCCACTCTATGACTCCCAGCAAGTCAGTCAGTCCTTTCCAGCAACCCCTCACTTCCCCTCTATGCCCAAGCCCAAAAAAAACCCTTTGACTGGCGACTGTCCTGATTCGGATGTTCCAGCGGCACTAAACCGTAATGGTCTCCGGTTTCAATTCGGCTCTCATAATACCCATTTTCTCTATTACCAAATGTCATCCCAACCCTGAAGGAAAAAGTAGTTAACTCGTGATGCCTGACAGCTGGAAGTCTAATTAACATACTCAGGTCTTGTGAAGGCACCAGATACCCTCCGTGGTTGTGGGTAAAGTGACACGACCACAATTCTAGTACCTCGCAGACTCCCCTCAGTCTCCGATGCTAACCACTTTGGCTTAAGGTCTCATTTACCGAAAATGCAATGGACTGCAGGTGCGCACGACTTTGAACCGCGAACACACTCATGGCGGGGCTCGGAGGGGTTCTGTGATCCATGCATGGATGGGGCTGATGCCATCATCTGGTAGGCCTTTTTTTTCCTCAGTGGCCCTGTCAGGGTTTACGGGCCACTCAATTTTGTCGTATTGATCCAACCGCGTTGAGAGGAATATAGAGGAGGAGCGAATAATAGCATTACAGTAGTTCAGGCAAGGTTTCAATTTGGACCATGCCCACTATGCGTTTAGGCCACCTCGGGGCTACATAGGACGTGGGATGTCTTGGTCCTACAGAGCACAATATCTATAATCAAAATGCATAACAAGTGAGCATCCTGCTGCCTTCCTAATGCACTTGATAGATAAGGGTGTCGAATTTGGAAATTTCGATAAGGCGACTTGTCGGTGCTGGAGTGCTAGAGTTAGTCAGGTGATCAATCATCGACGTGCCTGATTCTGCATGGATTCTTTTGCATCTAAACACTCGATTACGTCGCGATGGTTGTCTTTATTTCGCTTCAATTTAAATTCTGATTTCTTTCGTTGCTGAGTGTGTAAGGTGACCAGTTTATTCGCACTTCCAGCTCACAAAGCAAAACATCCATTTTCACGCCGCCAGCAGCTCCTGTAGTAGGATTATACCATCGATGATGACCTCGCTCATATATTCGATACATCGAAATAAGATTCTGTCTTTATATTAAACGATAACTTTCGCAAAGTGGAATAACAAAATATTGCCATAATCCTTCTTGATTCTGGAGTATGTCATACCCCACATAGGCACCAAAAGTAACAGTCAACTTTCAATGTCCAGGTTTGATACTTAGTATGCAATTCACTTTATTATAGTCATGCGACTACTTCTGTAAGGCATGCTAAACCTAATAATCCTAGCCAAGTGCGACCATAATAACCATATAGTTCACTAACACCAAGCTCCAGCGAGCCACACTTCCAAGTTCCAACCTGATCTACTTGTCAGTGCCCAGACCCACCAGTCTAGACCACAAAAGTAAGCAAAGAGAAGCACTGAATCATGTCAGCGAAATCATACTACTAAATAAATCCATTGCAAAACAGGCATGTAAATCATGACATTCTTGAGAAAACTCGGGTATCTACATGTCAACCCATGTCAAACCAAGAACGTGCTCGCTATGCCAAGAATTAAATACCAGAGGAGGACTAGTACTATCAATAGACACACACATATGTGTCATGGAGCTATGAATGTTAGGATTTAACATTAGAATGGAATTTAAAGGTTTATGATTTTTCCACACTGCCTTCTAGATTCTCATATACATTAAAACTTGATAATTCATTCATTGATATTATAGTACCACACTTAAAAGGGTATAAACCGACATACTAACTTAACTATTCTAGTCAGTTTTGACTAAGTAGATACAGTAGACAACCGCAAATCTCCGAGTTTCCTTCCCTTCCATACCGTAAAAACATCAAGCAACCACTCTAACCCAATCGAGTCAAGTGTACTTAAACTTCAATACAAATGCGAAGTTAGTTAGATCATGCAGCCGGTGAAGGAATGAATCCACAACACCAACTTTTGTCCCTTAGCAATGAGTAAGTTAGTACTTAAGGACCCTCGAAGCCAGTCAATCCCATTAACAACCTGTGACAATCATATACTGATTTTTCTTCTCCCGATATACCTACCCAGTAGTATGTATACTACTCTGGGGACACATCCATCTATAATAATCCCCATTAATAGGCCGGGAACGGAGTAAAATGCAGGGGCATTCCATACCAACCAACCCAACAAGGTACGGAGTTTATTGATGGATTGATCTCCTTCTTTCCCTTCCCCAATAATAAGCCAGCCAGTCAGCCAGCCAGCCAGCCAGTCAAATCTAAGCCATTCATCCATCCATCCATTCAGCCATCCACCGATACGGAATTACAATGATGTCCTTTATCCCATGCATGATCCCGCAGCAGCAGCAGCAGCCACACCGTCCTTCTTCAATGAGTGAGGAATGAATACTAACAATTATCCATCCAGCGCCCTCGGAATCATTGAATATACTATCCAATCACAATACCGATTAATCACTTTACACAACACAAAACCTACTTATGCCACAAGTACTAACTACAATAGTCACATTCCTCTAAGTACGTAAGCGGAAGCCTAACACTCAACCTAACTTACTTAACCTCGGATACGCCCGGCGCAACCGGGCAATTGTTGCAAACCAACCAATCTCAATAATGGTAAGTAAACCAACTTCTAACAAACTATCGCTTAGCAAGTGCCCCAGCCCCGGGCAGCGGTTCACGACGATTAGGGCTGAGACGCGCGCGCGCGCGAGTCAACAATAAGGTAACTAGTCTATTTATCTGTTTTTGGTCCCGTGGAAGGGCTATTATCTTTTTTTTCTTTCTTATTTCGGAATTCCTCGGAGGGTCTAATGTAGAATGAATGAATGGATCCGAGCCGAAACAATTATCGCCAACCATAGGCCGAGATATTTCCTGTTTCCGACGGCGGCGGAGAGTCTTGCATGGTTTTGGTTGCGTTGACGAGGAACACTAGTTGGTTTGGTTTAGCTGCGCTAAATGTCTTAGTGCTTCCGTTCCGTCCGTCCGTCCGTGTGCCGGGGTGTCACGTGTGATTATGCTGGATTGGGTGGCTTTTCTATAAGTTGTTTATTATATTGAATTGTCTTATATGTGAATGAGTGTAGTTGCATATTATGCTTATATTATAGTTTGATCATATTTGTCGGCCATAAATCATAAATCGTCTTCTACCAATGTCGGACACTAACCAGGACTTGTTCTCTCGGATCCAACTGGATGGATGACTGCTGTCCTGTCACTAATCCCAGACGCGTGAGGATCTGCCATACTAGCTTGCGCTTCAGGTTCTCTCGGACGGGAATCTTCTCGAGCGCGTCATACCCGTTGAAGTATTTGATAAAGGTCGGCCAGTACTTCTTGAGCGATGTTCGAAGTCCCGCGTATTCAAGGTCCCCTTCGGGGACTTCGCCTTGAAGTTCGGGGAATCGTGCCATGAGCTCGCCTAACCATCGGGACTCCAAAGGTGATGCACGGTGCGGGTACAGGATGAGCGACGATGTCTTTAAGGACGTGTTTTGGTCGAGTAGAGAATGGGAGAGGTCGAGCTCGTTGTTCCGTTTGTACCGGCCTGGCATGGGCGTTTCATCACCGCTTCCGTTGCTGTCTAGTGATGATGACGAAGAGGAACTGGCATCATCAAGGTCCTCCTTTGTCTCGGTATCTGACGCTGATCCCCTCTTGCTCAAGTATTTGTCAACTTCTTCCTGTCGAAGGGCCGTCTCCACAGCCATCTTGATTTCAGGGCTTATTTTGACTCTTGCAAAGGCCCGCAATTGTGTGACCCAGCCACCTCGTAATAGCCACGCTAAAATGGCGAAGTATGTGTCTTTATGGTCTTTGCTTGGGATGAAGCTTCCGTACGGTCTGGGCGTTCCGCTCATCGCTGATAGCATCTTGGGGAGACTTGGGAGGGTCGGGAACGCTGCTTGATAAGCTGCCGTGGCTACCTCAAGCTTGCTCAGATCGCAGTTTGGTGATACGACATAAGTGTCCCTCTGATGGAGTGGAGGGATTGCTCGCGCTCTTCTCCAATACACAAGATGGCTAGCCAGCATCTGGATTGTGGAAAGCGGTATGCCAGAGGACACAGATATCTGCGCAAAGGACTTCGTCGGCTTCGAGCATCGGATATAATGGGCAAGCGCCGGAGCCAGAGCACCCCCGGATGCTTCAACGTCTTTGAGAATTGATGCCTCATTGTCCAGCAATAAGAGCGCGAAATGTTTAGCAAGCACTTGATGGGGGGCGGTGTTCTCATCAGCAGTGGGATCATCGACCGGAGTGACACTGTCCGCCGTTGTAAGCCAGAGACCCGGATATGCCTTGTCAGTTGGCCCAGGAAGCCATGGCGTCGAAGTCAGAGGTGGTATCTGTAGCGAGATGGACACATCTGGACTCAGAGATACCGACGCAATCTTTGATGCCGATATGCTGGTGAACACAGTGCAGATAGCCCTCGCAAGTGAGGACTGGCTGATTAGCTCCGAATAGAGGCTATTCACGGACATTCCTGCTCGTCACTCGGTCAGCAACCAAACTTATTCCAAATCGACAGGACCACATACGCTTCTCTTTAGCCTTCTCCTTGATATGTGAGATATGCTGCGCCTCCTTCCAAACATAATCCGTCCGAGCCTGCTCCCACTTCAACGCCTTCGAGAACTTCTTAATAATGTTATCGTAAATCTCCCTCAACCGCATGGAATACTCCAACAACGGCGGATCCAAAACAAACACGACATTAAACATAGTCATGCAATCCTTATCATCCGGATCCAGCGCCTCACTCAGCGTCCTGAAAGACCTAACACTAGTCATCGACGTCCGCTGATAATCCGTACTAGCCATCTGCTTCGGACTCAACGTCTCCGTCGAAGCAGCAATAAGCTCCGTACCCCGATCAGGGCTATCATCCTCAGCTTCAGCCTCATCACCCCCATCCCCATCCCCAGGTGCCTCATTATGTCCTAGTTCCGCTCCCTCCCAAGTCGCACGAGGCTTCCTCTTCTTCCTCCTCTGCTTCCTCCACGTCCCATCCTCACGCACAAAAACCGGCCACCCCACAAACGCCAAATCATTAATCCCGACCTCAAACCGCCGCTTATGCCACGACCGCGACGGACTCAACAACTTCTCCCACACATCCGCAGGGAGCCCCAATAACGACTCCCAGGGGGGCCGAAACGGCCCGGCCTCATCCTCCTGTCTATCCGACGCAGCGCCCGCATCCTCTTCCGCATCGGAATTCGTCCCTCGTTTCCGCATCATCAGCCCCCGCCCGGACCCCACTGAGCCTGCACGCTGGGACTCCCCGCCCGGCGAGCCGGATATGGTTCCATCATCAACGACGCCGAAGTTACTCGATCGTCTTCCTGCGACGGGATGACTACCTGCGATGTGCGAGGCGTTCTGGGTGTAATTGGCTGGCTGCGTCGCAGTCCCTGTGGTTGTGGGAGCTGCTGCAGTTGCAGTTATTGGTGTCTCGTCTTCATCTTCGCTAGAGGTGGAGCTGCTGTCTTCGCTGGAGCTGGAGTCGTTGCTCTTGGAATTCTTCCGTGACGGTCGTCGCGCTTTGGGCGCCCCTCGGAGTCCGTTCTCGCTGAGCGGGTTGGGTGGGTAGTGGAAGACGAAGCGCGGACCGGCTCGTGAGCGCACTATTAGAATGATTGCTACCAGGCAGGGGTCTGGTGGCCGTGCAATGGACGACATCGGTCGTTGGTGGGTGTTGGGAGTTGGATTGCTGGGAGCAATTGGGTGAACTTCAAGGGACGGGCGGAGAGTGATTTGATCGTTTTGGGGTTGGTGTTCTGGCGGGTCGGCTTCCCCGCATGACATTGCATGGTTACGTTGTTTTTGCTTCGACGTTTTGGAGCAGGCAATTTGTCCAGAATTGTACCTATATTTCTTTTCTCAAAATTCATCTAGGTATACTTCAATTGAATGCACATCAAAGTTAGGTATGATACACAAGCTATATACAGAACCGCAATCCCAACGCCGGAAATGGAGAAGTACCTATCCATCCATCCATCATCAATCGTCGAACACAAAATACCCTATTTATACAGAGGCCATGCCCTCCCACAATATCATACAGCTCCCCCAATCTATATAGCATATGAGTCTGGCAGGAGGGAACTATGCCTTCTTCTCCGCACCCTCAGCACCCCCACTCGGTGTAGTCTTATCCTTCTCGAACACCAACCCGAGGTTCTTGAAGTCGTCCGGTGCCATAAGATTGCTAGAGGCGAATCGCAAGTAATTAGCCATGGCTCCTTCGATAGCGTATATGCAGAGCAGGAACATACTGGTCCATCCGACAAGACAGATACGACTTGGCCAGTTTCCGGCACTCGTCGTCGTTCACACCTCGTCTCGATTTCAGGCACTTGAGGTAGTCGGTGATGAGGTGCTTGCATTCGCCTGGTTCAGCAGTAGAAGGGTAATGTGTCAGTTATGTGTCTGTGTCGAATGGGTACATAGAGAAAGGGTTCGCGCAAGGCTCAATGCTGCCGACGAGGCGGGATAGGCTGGTTTGCAAATTGGGTGGGTATCAAGGGAGATGTACCATCATGATCGAGAGGGAAGCTGCCACGCTCGGGACTAGATCGTTGGGAGATTATTAGCCCAGTCTGTTTCTTTCGGGACTGTTCACTGTCTATAGGCATATTCCAAAGCCGGGGAGGGTATAACTCACGGCGTAGGCTTCATGGGGGCGGCACCGCCACCGGGAGCTCCGAAACCCATGATGACAGAGTAGTTTGTATATTCCTAAGCTGATAAATCAGTTGATAACGAATGAATAATTGACTGGCCCAATATGTCGTCCTCTGTATCTGACAATTGCCGGTCTCGATAGTTGCTGAAAAACGGCACGGCGAGCGGTCCGATAAGAACAAACAAGACAATCGTGACAAACACGTAGACAAACAGAGCAAACATCAACTGATGTATGAAGTCTCATGCATCCAGACAGAGCAGAGATAATGAGCTCGTGACGCTAAACTCTCTATAGTACTGTGCCAGTATCTTCTATTATGTACCAACTTTGTCCTCGTTCTATACCATTAAGGAAGTTTCTCTAGTTGTACTGGAATAGCAAAATGCGGGGTACCCAACCGCAAAACGATGCAACAACAACAACAACAACATGCAGAGGTGAAAAATGACAGACCAATGGATAAAGAGTAAGCGACGATAGCTGCATGGTATCCAGTGCTATCCGAGCGTCGCGGCAAATCCAAGTTTGCATGTGCGGAGTCATTGACCCAGCCCCTCATGGATCCAGACAATCCGAGTTTGCATGATAGGCCTCTTATATACCAATGACGTTGTTGCATCCGAGGCCGTTCCGGACACGGTCCTGGTATATAAGTAGATAGTCGCGATCCTTTGTCCTGTCGAACAAGATTCGATTACTATCAGTAGTACAAGTCACGCTTCGCACTTGACAATACTATACTATTCTCCCGAATACGTACTTGACCACTTGACCAATATGCCGATGTAGGTCCCCGCCATACTGATGAACTCTCGTGTACACGACACAGACTTGATACGAGCAGTATTTGTCGAATAGATACTAACAAAGAAGAATAGGAAACTTGAAGGCAGCTGCCAGTGTGGCAGCGTTGAATTCACACTCGAATCATCGACCCCAGTTCCTTATCAACTATGCGCCTGTAGCATCTGCCGGAAGGTCGGCGGATACAGTGGCAGTGTCAATCTGGGCGGTATTGCCGATAGCCTGAAGATCAAGAAGGGAAAGGACTTGATCAAGTATGTCATGCCAGTCTTCTTTCCGAGCCCGCGGTCTTTTGCCGGCCTCAAAATATTCTTTATGACTGTTGGAGATGGCAGCTGAGAGCTGACCGGTTTAGGAAATATTCCGCCGTCATGGCGAGAGGCACACCGGATGAGAAGATCTGTGCGTCGGAGCGGAATTTTTGTTCCAATTGCAGCACCATGCTTTGGCTGTGGGATCACCATTGGCCGGAGCTCATTCATCCTTTTGCTTCGGCCATTGACACGGAACTACCGGTCCCTGATGAGATGGTCTGCATCATGGAGAGCTCTAAGCCGGCTTGGGTGCGATGGCCAGAGGGGAAGAAGCAGGTATTTGATGGTTATCCAGAGCATAGCTTGGAAGACTGGCACAAGAAGCACAAATTGTTCTTCGAATAGATGAGACACTTTAGGTGACGATGATACGGAGTTTTACGAGATGTGGACTATGTTTACAAAAAGTGGGAGCATTGTTTGGAAAGTTGAACTCATTATCATTATCATTAAAGTAGCTATCCATAGGCGAGTGACCTGCACAATGCAATGTTAGCAGCTGTATAAACAGACACTGATGCATAAATGTGTATAGGTGAGAAGTTCAGGTCTCCAAGGTGAATCTTTGTTGTTTCGTCAAGGTGGTTCGGTAAGAACACAGCGAATTAAGAATTCATCATGCAATAATGAAGAAAACACGACAGGGAATACTTACACTTTGGAAGCTTCATAGAAAATCTACAAGATGTTCCCTATTACTTTCAACAAAGTTAGCATCACATGCAAGACATAGCATGAGTGACACAAGCATTGAGATGTCAACGAAGTCAGGCTATGAAACGGATTAGCACAAGCACATTGGTATCAGGGGTATGGTCACTACCAACCTCATTAAATCAGATTTTTTTTGTAACATGTTCATTTCCAAACACATGGCGTGCAGGATCAAACAGTGTGAATAACAAGATTCATCATGTAATGTTGACTTTGGGTATATGGGCATATGGAGAGGGTGTTTGAGAATGACAGTACCTGTCATGACTTGTTAGTATGACTTGGATCGAAATTTTCTGGTAATCGCAGAACGATCGATGAAAGCTCAGGTGACGAGTTCTCAACAATGTGTACACTTCCCCAACACCCGCAAAGTTTGTACGCTTTGCTTTTGATGGATGCGGGTCAATGCACACGTTCTGTCCGCCCGTTCGTTCAAAGTATCTTCATCGACGGCCAACAATGGCATAGAGATGGAATGGTTGGTATTTACCTATCACCAGCAAGTTAGCAATGGTCACAAACAGGCTGAGTGAAGCAATCAAGTTATTTTGGAGTTGTCAGACAAGGCTGAAACTTGAGTTAAAACACGAATTCCACATAGTGATTAAGTTTGAGGAATGCCTTAAAGCGTGTCATAGGGTCATCATACAAGGGGAGGAAGAACATTTAGAATAACGTTGTGCTCGCATACCTTTTGAAATATTGAATTGTACATCATGTTGTCAGAAGATCTTCGTCATCATTAGACCATCTATAGTAGCGAGATGTCAGCAAGAGCTCAACGCAAACATGAAGCCGCAGGCAATGATGGTTTCTTTGGTATCAGAGTAATTCTAGAGACTTTTGGAAGGTCCTTCATGCATTTTCGGCCGTGGATACTCCTGTTAAGGAATTCATCCTGATATGGTAGGGATGTATAACTGAGGGAGCAAAATTCGTGAACTCACATCTTCATTGACAAGGCATGCTCAAATACAATCAATTGTCATTGACTGTATTGAGCATGCCAGTAAACCAACTTGAGTAAGTTGGGTTGTCGACTAGTGCATCTTGTTGATGCGGTTGCAAGCTTGGGCAAGTTGAGAAAAAAATTATTGTGGGTTGCGCCGCGGTTTTATAGGTGGGCAGTTAACACCACGGCTAGCGAGTATCACCAAGAGCGTTGTTTGACCGGAAAACAAACACTTCAGTGTCGAGGACCCACCCAACTAGTACCATTACTGCTACATTCACTACTGTCTAAGATGCGCATCTACAAGCTTTCAACAGCTACAAGAGTTGCCAGAATTGAAGCAATCAGTCATTATTCGAAATTGACTGGGTCGCCCAATGGTGGCTTGCTCGATCCCGCAGGGTAATGCCTCATGAACTTTACGCTTGCCTACTTCAAGCTCGCTGGTCTAGCGAAGGACTTGATGAGTTTGGTCTCGTCGCTGAAAAGGCTAGGGATTGGGACTGTCAAATCATTAGATTTGTACAAAACTTGGAGATTTACTCCTGGGCTGGGTACCAGCTCTAGCCTCTATTCCAAACTGATCATGTTGCCTAAACTCTTCAACCGACCCTTTAACAAGATATTCTCTTTATCACTATCTACTATCACTAAACAACAATGATTGAGCTCGTCTTCTAGATCATTAAGACCAAGATGGTGGGCTAGTAGCATGTCAAAGTTTTGAAATATCTCATATCTTTCGCCTTGGATGCTTAATCCCCAGCTAGAGACACTGAAGTCTACCCAGAGGTGATGAGAGGCTCGCTTCAGATGGCAATTAGTCGGATATCGACCAAATCCGTGAACGGAATACTAACGAAGTATACGCATTGTCGATGTTTTCTGTGCGGTTTCTTTCTACTTGACTCGTGGGAGGGCTTTGTGATGATGTGATGCGTTATATGCAATGCATGCTTCATTCTTACACTCACCTACAGTGTCTAGACCGCGATTGATCGCTCATATCCCCTTCTACAAAGTACCTGCGTGCAAAAGTCCGTGCCAAAGGTGGAGGTATAGTGATGTTGGCAAGATTGCGAAAGAGAAAATGGCAGAAAGTCCTGCAGATGACCACAAGACACATCGGGCTCAAGGACCTAGCGAAAGCTGAAAACCGTCTTGAGCGAACAGAAGAGAAGGGTTGGGGCGAAGACGGGTCAGCAAGGTATCCTACATGGCTCAATAACTCACTGATAGGACCGACCATCCATGGATTGTTGTCATGCCTTCTAAGCCTTATGGTTGATGCCCCGGAGCGGACGCCATGTCAACCAACAACTGATTTGCAAGTTTCAATCATCCCACTATGATCAATTTGCTCTACTCCAAAGAGGATGGAAACCTACCAAAGCTTCTACTGGGCCTCTCACAACGAGCATATATACCCAATGGATTTCGGCCATCGTGGCCCACAAAGAGTGGGATGTTGGATATGGTTCTTAAACTCCGAAGAAAACATCGTATGGCACCAGGTAGTACACCGAGAGACTGTCTTATTAAGTTTCTGCAGCTATCTAGTACTTACCCAGCGCTTTGCCTGTCTGGATTTGCTGTGTACAGAGCGACCCAACATCAGGATATATTGACAAGACCCACAGTAGGGGATTGGTACCTGCTTGGTAACACAATGAGGTAACCCCCCTCGAGCACGCCTTTGGCGCAAAGGATGTCGGGCTTCGAATCGTCCAGAAATGCTCGAGTAATGCGCCCTGATTGCGATTCGTTGCAACATTAACTGTGTAAGCTCCGCTGAGGGCCAGTCTGGATCGGAGCTTTAGTGGGTCCGTCTCAAAACGTCATCGGCCCTCTCCCGACAGAAACCCAAAGTTCTATCTGCGTCAATTTGACGTCGATCCATGTTTATGATGCTGCGTTCACCAGGATTTTGTAATGCCATTATGCGCTGGAAGATGGACATAAAAAGGGCCTTCTTCCCGGCCAGCCGTTGTTCACCAGCACATAATACCCATTGACTCGACCCTACTTCAATTGACGCATACTACTCAAAATGACGACCACATTCAAGCTCAACACCGGCGCTCAAATTCCCGCCGTTGGCTTTGGAACTTGGCAGGACGCAGAGGCACAGGAGCAAGCTGTGCTTGAAGCCATCAAGGCAGGATATCGCCACATTGACACTGCCAGAATGTGAGTCTTCATGCTCAGTTCAACGAAGTAGTCGGTGTGCTGACATGATTTTGCAGTTATGGAACAGAAGAGGCCGTAGGAAAAGCTATCAAGAAGTCTGGCGTTCCCCGTGATCAACTTTTTATCACCACCAAGCTCTGGAACAACAAGCATCACCCCGACGATGTAGCGCAGGCGCTTCAGGACTCGTTGAACGACCTCGACTTGGAATATGTCGATCTATTCTTGATGCACTGGCCTGTGGCCTTCAAGAGAGGAACCGAAAAGTTCCCCAAGAACGAGAGTGGCAAGCCAGCTGTGGAGGATACTGACTACGTCGATGTATGTATTCCATCCCCGTACACAACACCAACTATGCCTGATGAATGCGCTAACTTACCACCTCTGGCAGACATACAAAGCCATGGAGAAGCTCCTTTCGACCGGAAAGGTGAAAGCCATTGGCGTCTCCAACTTCTCCAAGTCAGAGATGGAACGTCTCCTTCAGAACAGCTCCGTCGTCCCTGCAGTCCACCAGCTTGAAAGCCACCCATGGCTGCAACAGCGTAGCTTCGCCGATTGGCATAAGTCAAAGGGCATCCATGTCACCCACTACTCTCCGTTCGGAAACCAGAACGAGCTATACTCTCGCGAGGGCACAATTGGCAAGCTGATTGATGACCCCGTGCTGGTCGAGATTGGAAAGAAGTACAACAAGAGCTCTGCGCAAGTAGCACTTGGTAGGTCCCATATCATCTATCTTCGCGAAGAAGAAAGCTAACGCTCTGTAGCCTGGGGTATCAACGAAGGACACTCAGTACTTCCCAAGTCGAAGACTCCATCTCGCATCAGAGACAACCTCCAAGGCGACTTCAAGCTAGACGCCGAGGATCTCCAGAAGATCCGGGGCATTGACCGTAAGCTCCGCTTCAACGACAGCAGCGCCGACTTTGGCCGAGAATTCTTCGGCGACTTGGACGGCAAGCAGAAATAAATCGGTATCTTGCAGCTTACATGTCTATTAATTCTAAATGAGGAAACGAAATGCAACGAATACAATATTACTTACGTGCTCCCCTCAACACCCCCACGAACCTCGTGTTCACGATCCCTCGTAAATATAATGTAGATCAGCAAGGTAGTAAAATTAAAGTTCAATGAACGATGCCGTACCACTATCCCGACGATTTGGGGTCAGAAATGCCTAGCCTCGTAGCCTTTGCTATTCTCATCTGGTCGGGTCACCTGCCATACAGATAGTTACTTTCATACGAGCCGAGTAGCTACCTAAGCTTACTACTTATGCTTCTCAACTCCGCAATAATTCCACTTCATCATATCCAATCATCCAGCTCCTTCATACATACATACCAACACCAATAATAACAGACATCTAACTCCATACTATATATACATACTAAGCAACAATGCCCCCCTCCAAATCAGAAGATACCCCTCCCCCCGCACCCCATCGTCATCAACTCTCGTACCAAAACTTCTCCAAGCGCCTAATCCTCTCCTATATATTCGACTGGATCCTCATAATGTGCGTCCACCCCATACTACACCCCCCAAACCCAACACTACTAACCCCAAAATCACCTCAGCGGAGTCGCCCTCATCGGCTACGGCTTCAACCAAACAACCCCCAACCACCGACCCTTCTCCCTCACCGACCCAAGCATCTCCTTCCCCCACAGGGAAAAGGAAACCGTCTCAACGGGCGTGCTAGCCGTGGTAGCGGTAGTAGCTCCAGCTGTGATCATTGTCTTGGTCTCCGTTCTCTTGGTCAATCCCGCTAGTACCAGCATAGCTGGTTCTAGTGTTCAGAATGCTCGAAGAGAAGCTCTAAGAAGGAAGTTTATGGTCAAGCTCTGGGAATGGCATGCAGGATGGATGGGACTAGGTGTCGCCCTTGCGGGAACGTTCATGGCTACGGAGGGACTCAAGGATCTATACGGGAAGCCGAGACCGGATATGCTGGCTAGGTGTGACCCGGATTTATCTGCGGTTAATGAGTATGCGGTTTCGGGGTTGGGAGGGAGAATTGCGGGTGCGCCTACGATGGTGACGTGGGAAATATGTCGGAATAAGGGTGATGAGATGCTGAAGGTGGATGGGTTTGCTAGTTTTCCGAGTGGGCATTCTTCTAGTGAGTTTTATCTATTATAAGGGTGGGATCTGATCTGACATGGATATTATCTAGTGTCGTTCGCGGGATTGATGTATCTCGCTCTTTGGCTAAGTGCTAAATTCTCCATTGGCTTCCCGTTCCTGGCGTATTCGCCGCTCAGCCAGGATCTGCAAAGACAGGATCGTGGGAAGATTCGAAACCAAGGTGCCGCTCCTCCTGTCTATATGCTCATCGTTGCATTAGTGCCCATTGCGGTAGCCTTCTTCATCTCTGCATCGCGTTGGTTTGATTATCGCCATCATGGTTTCGACATCATATTCGGATCGGTCATGGGAATGGTCTTCGCGTGGATTGGTTTCCGACTATATCAGCTGCCCATTATTCGCGGTGCGGGCTGGTCGTGGGGAGCTAGGAGTCGCAAACATGCTTTCTTCATGGGAGTCGGACAGCCGAGCCACGTTTCTGCCGATAATTGGGTCATGATGAGCGACAAACGCGATGCTGCAGAGAGCAGCCCGCACAACGTTGATCTGGAAAGCGGTCGACCGGGCCCGGATGAGCGATGAGCAATCGCCCTCCGCACTGTGGTTAGAGCTTGACATAATATTCACTTTGTCGGCTTCAGTAGACTTTGTCTCCTTCATCTCCATCGCGTTCAGTGGTATGAATTTATGCAGAGAATGGGCCAGGTGATGCCATAGTCGAACCGTGACCTCGATCAAAGCCGGTAACTTCATCACCTCCACCCACCAACCCTCCCCTCATCCCATCTAGCTTTGGCCTCTCTCCTAGCTGCCAACTTGGCCGATTCCGCTCTGACCCGTCTAATCCAATCGCCGACCTCCTTCTCAGTCGCCCGTCCATGATGTTCCTCCTCCAAAAAGCTCTCCTCGACTGCCTGACAGACCGCCTCCTGCTCCGCAATCGAAGCAGCCAACCGCTGATACAAAGCCTTAGGCGACCACGGCGCCAGCGCAGCATCCATCTCAGACTGCTTTTTCCGCCAGGAGACCTCAAGCGACTGATGCGTCAGAAGAAGAGTTTCGGTAGAAGAGCGTAGTTCCCCGACATGTGACTGCAGCTCCAGTAAACGGTTCGCAAGGTCTTTATTGTATTTCAGAAGAGTCTGTAGGTTATCCTGATGCGCCGTATACGAAGGATGGTCACTGGAGAGGGCGGAGATAAGATTAGGATCTTGAAGGATAGTCTGGAGATCGACAGTCCTGTCATCACAAAAAAAGTATCTATTAGCCCATACCCCAACATCACAGCAAGGAATAGAAGTAGAACGTACGATTTCTCCTTCACACCAGCAGGCAACCAACCCTCCTCCACCGTCGGCGGCTTAGGTAGCGCATTCAGCGAGGCAGCGGGGTTAAATGTTGCCGGTGAAGAAGAGTATCTCTGTCCCTGCATATTCAAGCGGTCCTGCGCATAATGTCCTTCCTGGTACTGTTGTGGTGTTCCGGGATGCGACGGGGTGCCCCTTCGACTGGCTTCGTGGCTGCTGGGTTTCGGGGGAGGCGGGGGAGGAGTGTCCGGGTTAAGTGCTGGGTTCATGGCGAATGGAAGGGACCTCTAGGAGGTAGTGACTAGTAAGCTGACAGCTGGAAAGTACCTGAATACGTGGGCAGACAAACTGAGGACAGGCAGCAATTGGAGGGATTGGTCGAAGCCAAGAGCAGCACTGGCTGTGACGCCCGAAATGCGGGGAAGGCCGATCATCACGTGAGTGGGTGGAGGATGTTTACAAGGCTACAGATAGGTACTAGTACAGTGTGTGGAAAAGGATGTGGGGGTTGTAAACGGATTAAGGTATAATTCTTGGTCACATAAGGTAGTGTAGTATGCTGCCTCTCTCAGCTGCCCGTCATGCTCTGTTCGCGTGCGTTGGGCGCATGCTAGGGCCCTTGTTCATGGAGTGCCGCCTGGTCGAGGCACCACTGCTCCAAGTACCAGGTTATCAATCAGAAGATCCTGTCCCCTGCTATGCTCGAAGTACCACCAGACACGGTATGATGGGTTTGTTCGAGCTGCAGGTCCAAGGCCCGAGGCGCGAATTGATGCGAGACGTAAACGGCCTCTCCGGAAGACCTCCGAAACCTCTAAGCAGGAAACTGGGTATCCAGTGTTGTCAGAGGGCCGCAGTATACTGGCAATCTGCTATATTATGCTCCTTAATCCGTCCTGCGGCGCACCTCACGCTCCTGAGTGTTGATACCGGAGCCCGAAATAGCATCCATGACCAACTGGCGCAGTTGGCTCTGCGTAGCTTCGCTGTGGAAATCCTCACGCGCGGCCAGCTCATCAATGCGCCGCTTGAACTCGGGATCCACCTCGTCCATTCCCGCACTAGCCTCCTGTTCCGACACTGTGCCCAGGTTCATTTGAATGTTCGGAGGAAGCGGCGGAGCAGGGTTTAGTGCGTCGCCAGCCGAGTCGGCCTCGGGCTCAGGCACGCCTGCGACTTGTCGCAGATAAGCAGCGATTTGCGGGAAAGAGCCATCGCTCTCGATAGTCTCATAGGCTGCGAGGCCCTCATCGTTTCTCTTGTTGTAGTCCACACCCAGTTCCTCAACCAGGCATTTCGCAATGTCGAGACTTTCCGTCACAAACAGGCAGGTTTCACCATCCTCGTCGAGCAGGTTGACGTCCACGTTGTAGTCCTTCACCAGAGCGCGTAGCAGGTCGATGTGTCCGTAAGAAGCCGCAGCATGGAGTAATGAATAACCGTGCTCATCCTGGTTCGAGGCGATGGAGGGGTTGGACTGCAATAGAGTCAGGACGGCGCCCGGATTATCGGCGGCCAGAACGTAAGGGTTGGGTTGAGTCATAGCGCCGGTTTCACTAGTCGGAGAGGAAATATGAGTCAGTCCTGATAGTGTCTGGTGGCTTAGACAGGTAATGCCATACCTTGAGTCACACAATAATTTCAGATGAAGTGGTAATGGACAAGTGAAGGCAGGATGTGTTCAGTGATTCGAGATGGGCGGAGGAAAGTGGCGCGGGCGGAAAAATGCGCTTTTTCAAAAAAAGGATCGCTGCCCCGCATCTTCGATAAGAAACTCCTACTTTGGGACCCCGATCGAGGCTGACGGTGACTCAACTTTCTACTCTCATTTTCCGTCGTGCGAGGCTGTATCTTAGCTCGGGATAAGCTTCTGCTTGGGAAGGTCGAGCTTGCTCTGTTAAAAACATAAGGCGATTACTCCCTGGCCTTGTCGACAACACGCCGCGCGTGCCTTCTGCCTTCTCCCCCACCTCCTCCCGCATCCCGACCCTTGATTCCTTCGTTTCTAGCGAGTGCAACGCACGAATTACGTGATTTTTCTAGATTTGATACGCGCGAATCCGAGAGATCACAATGGTGCAGCAGGACGAGCGGGAAGTCGCTGAGCTGGTCACCAGCCTGGAGGCCGCCAGCAGGAAAGGCACAGCTCACGGGAAGAAGTCGGGGTTCAAGTGCAAGAAATCTACCTTTGACGTTGAAAAAGCAGACAAAATCAAGGTGCATTCGTGGAAATTTATGGACTGGGATTACAAACGCGACGATCTGCCGACCTATGCGCGAGGACTGTTCACCACCCAGAGGAAGGATGGTACCCAGGAGATTGCGGTTCGCGGATACGACAAGTTCTTTAATGTGGATGAGGTGAATGACACAAAGTGGAGGAACATTGAGATGAACACTAGGGGTCCCTACGAGCTCAGTGTGAAGGAGAACGGGTGCATTATATTCATCTCTGGTCTTGAGGACGGCACTTTGTTGGTCTGCAGCAAGCATTCTACGGGTGTTCGTTCCGATACAAACCTTAGCCATGCTCAAGCTGGTGAACGCTGGGTCGAACGACATGTCAGTTCTGTTGGAAGGAGTGTAAAGGACTTGGCACGAGAGCTGCGCAGACTGAATGTCACCGCAGTAGGCGAGCTCTGTGACGACAGCTTCGAGGAGCATGTCCTCGCCTACGACGAAAGCGCTTCGGGTATCTATCTACATGGACTCAACTTCAACGTGCCTCAGTTTGCCACGCAGCCTAGCTCGGAAGTACACAAGTTTGCCGATGCGTGGGGCTTCAAGAAGGCCAACTTTGTTGTGTATGAAGACCTCGATCAGGTCAAGAAATTCCTCGACAACTGCGCTGAAACAGGCACCTGGGATGGCCGCGAGACGGAGGGATTTGTGGTCCGATGCCACATGGGCGATAAAGGACGGGCACCATACCGGGATTGGTTCTTCAAGTACAAGTTCGAAGAGCCCTACTTGATGTACCGGCAGTGGCGCGAGTGCACGAAGGCAGTCATTGCAGGAAAGGTTCCTAACATCAAGAAGCACAAGAAGATAACCGAGGAGTATCTTCATTACGCGCGGAGACAGCTCGCGAAAACCCCTGGGCTCGCACAACAGTACCAGCAAAACCACGGCATCATCTCTTTGAGAGAGGGTTTCTTGCAAGAGAGAGGCCTCAACGGATCTGAAATTATCCAAATGGAGTCTGACGAATCCGGCGATGTGACGCAAGACGTGATTCTCGTCCCCATTGCTTCACTGGGCTGCGGCAAGACGACCGTGGCTTTGGCTCTCTGCAAGTTGTTTGGATGGGGACAGGTGCAGAACGATAACATTCCGAAGCAGAAGAACAAGCCAAAGAAATTCTCCTTGGACATTACCAATCTTCTGGCCCAACATCCTGTGGTAATAGCGGACCGGAACAACCACATGCGACGCGAACGGCAGCAACTCATAGACGATGTGTCGGTTGTGATTCACAAAGCTCGCTATGTCGCGCTCCAGTACGTCCACGAGCCCAAAGGACAATTGCTTCCTGGCATCCGCGAGGTAACGCGGAGACGAGTCCTTGACCGGGGAGACAACCACCAAACCATCCGGGCGGGAAGCAAGAATCCAGAGGAGGTCATTGGAATCATGGAAGGTTTCCTGAACCGGTTCGAGGCTCTCGACACCGATCGTGAGCCAGACTGCTACTTCGACCAAGTAATTGACCTGGATGTCAGTGCTTCTTCGCGTGAGAATCTGGAGACAGTGGTGAAAGCGCTACACTCGTTCTATCCCAAGCTCGTGAAAGAGATTCCAACGGCCGAGCAACTGGATGACGCTATTTACTGGTCGATGAACGAATACCAAGTGCAGCTGGACTGGAGCCATCAATATGGATCCCAGAAACCGAAGAACAAGAACAAGAATCAGAACCAGAACCCCGGCAGCCCTGCACCCACAGCCGGTCCCACCCCCGAAGATTTGGCCAAGAAGATCGAGTACTTCAACATCTCCCTACCTCCTGCAGAGGTGAAAAGTATCCTCGAGTCTCTGTTTCCCCCGTCTACAGCTCCCGAACAAGCACGTCTCTACCGACAGCTCATGAACAGCAGACGTGTACAGCCCACCTTCCACGTGACATTGATCCACCGCGCCTCGAAGAAAGAACATCCCGGCATTTGGGACGAATACGTCCGCCAGTACATTGAAAAGATGAAGAGCAAGCCCGAGTCTGATCCCACCATCACCCCGACGCTGGCTCCGGCTCGCGTACGCCTTGAGCGTCTCATCTGGGACAACCGTCTCATGGCATTCGTAGCGCGGATCTTCCCACCAGAGGACCAGAACCTGGCGGAATGGCCGTGCGCGAATGAGATACCCCACGTCACTGTGGGAACTGCGTCGCCGGATGTGAAGCCCAAAGAGAGCAATGATCTGCTGAAGTGGTGGCATGAAGTTGGCTCGGGAGGAGAAACCGGGCTTTGGGAGGCTGAGATCCCAGGCGTGAGGGTTGTAGAGGGAACAGTAGGCGTGGTGATGAGTCGCGGCAAATAAGTTAATGACTGATGACGACGAGTCATGAGTGATGATTGCAAGAGAAAAGTACATACTTAGTTTACTATAGACATGAAATCGCCGGGTTTGGCATGCAATATCTATCTTTTGCTCTAGTGGACAGAGTAGTAGAGTATCATATCGAATAACTAGTCGACAGAAATCCTTGTGGAAGTGGTAAAAAGCAGACGAAGGATCAAGGGCTAAATAATCCATGGTTATCTCTTCATACATGAGTTGTCTTGGATATGTGTTCTATCTTCAAGTTACAGCTGGAAAGCTAAGTTCTTACTCTCTCATATATAATTTGTAGAAGTCTCTTGAGAAAGACCACCAATGCAATAAATGAAAGGATAATGGCTTATTAGTAGTTTATATTAGTCTTGTATTTATTTCTTCATTGTTCTTTTCTTTTTTTTTTCTTCTCTCCCGGGTGTCGTGAGTACTTACTATATATTATTGAGACATTAATCACCCCAATCGCTCCGACTAACCAGCGCGAATATATTCATTCTGACCTACTTTACAAAACCCCCTCTTCAACACAGCATCATACTACTAACAAATCTCATCCTCTCTACCCGCGCGCAGCGCAGAATCTCCTTCATCCGCTCATACAATCCCAAATCTTCCACCGTCCATCTATGTCCATTAAAGGAAGACCACCATTGACGCACGAAACAAGAGGCTTATATACTGCGTGAAGTACTTACCAGCCCACCGGAGAAAATCCTCCTCATTAAACACGAAGCCCTGTTTCATAACAGCCAGATCACCTGTATCGACAAAGTTCCATCTGTCGAATATAGCAACGGCCCTTCTTCCCTTCCTACCCGGGGCTTCATAGTGGACGCATATCCAAAAGATCATCCAGAATAATGATTCGAGATCATGCATGAATGAATGTTTCTCGCCCATGAGTGCACCGATGGCCAGGAAGGGTCTGGTTCCGGTCTTCTTACTACCGTGTGCCTCTGGGGCAGGAATATCTCTTTGCTCTCTGATGGCGAGATCAAGGTCGATTATGAACGCTGGCCAGGATGGGTTGTTGTTGTTGTTCTTGTTTTCGTTGACTAGGAGGTTATTGGGTGAGATGTCCTGGTGAAGAATCCCTGTCTTGTGTAGAGATTGGTGTCCTGTTATGTATATCTCTAATATGGTGAGAAGGATTGAATGGGTGCTTGCCGTGTAGATTGGCTTGCCGTGATCGCGTAGGATGACTCGGCGGTGGATACAGTTTGGGGGCTTTTGGGATGTATTGTTAGGTGATGATAAGCGTGGGCGCTTTGTAGGCGGCAAGTAGGCACTGTCTTGTACGCATCCAAAGAACACCGAGTGGAATTGTGGGATCTCAACATACACAGGTTCAATCTCAGCCTTGAGAATTCGATCAATGTATTGGCGGTGCTTGGAGAGGATTGCAAAGCTACTCGTATTGTGGACCTGTTGGATTTGTTGGGAGGAGGCATGGGCGTTTACAGTCACTGCCTCGTTGACATATTCCCAGATATCGTTTGCTGGCGTGCAAGTTATAGATGAAGACAATATAGGCTGTACAAGGGAGAGATCAAACGCTTCGGACAGTTTTATTGCAGACTTCAACTCTGGATATTGTGCAGGGTAGTGGCACGGCTATATCTAGGCGTTGATTCAAAAATCGCAGAGTGTTCTAGGTCCAGCAACAGTTAAAGGGTGAGATTTAGGATATCTGTGTGGAATTTAGAATAGAAAGTTGGAGGTACTCAGGAATCACCTCTCTTTACCTGTTTGCGGAAGATGTATGAGCGCATCTGACGTGCGGGAGAGATCGTTTGCTTCACAGATAGAATTAAACAGTCTGGTGAAGTTCCTATTAAGAGCATTCTTCATAGTAATCTCGTCTACTATTTTGACGCTGGCGTCGTCAGCCATGTTAGAACAGATCCTGATGCTGCAGGTCCCCCATATCTCTCAGTCTGCTCTTCTGATATTCTTTGGAATTTGGAAAAGAAAGAGGAAGAGAGAGGCTACATGGGCAGCAGAAGTGGCTTTGGAATATTCATTTAGGTGACATTGAATATAGCCATGCTTTTCATCTTATCCTGTTTCTATTCAATTGAAGTCTTTCCCAATCTAGTGAACCAAGTCAGTTTAATCTAATGCACTATATGAGACTCAAAGATATGTCTAGTGAAGGGAATCGATCCTGAATATAGATATGAGTGGGAGTGAGTGTAGCAATACATTGAGGCAGGATATCTGGATATTATCAATCATTAAGACATTCACTATAGCCAGGCACTAGTATCTGATCTCTTAACCACCTCTTCCTCCTACGTGGCTTGACCTTACCGGCGCCAACTGATGTCTTGAGATCCGGTTCGATAATATATAAGCTAGGACACTTCTTCTGTCAGGGAAACTTCATTTGCGTCAAGGAGCAGCCATGCTAGTAAACTATGCGAACAGCGCCGATAATAAAGTATCAAACCATATTCAGGAAGAGGAAGACTCGCTTCCCTCTCTATAAACTCTTTTCGGCTTCCCGGGAATCAACATATAGCTGTGGTTGCCCGTTCTGACCAGTCGCGACAGAATACGAGCCTGCTGTACACCCGTAGACGTTGCAATAAGGTCGAGTATCTGCATGATCCATTCCTTCGTGTGAGGTGATATACCCGCAAAGTCCGAGGCAAGGTACAAAGGCCAAGGTAACCGAGCGACGGCCCCCAGGGCAGCGTCGCCTGAAGTGAAAAAATACGGGACGCTAGCGCAAATGTCCTCTGCCAGTTGTTTATTGATGGAGATAGACTCGTGCATGAGTTGAGGAGATTCAGGAATTTCTTGATGGAGACACATTGCTTGGATCATCTCGTGGAGAATGATCCGCGCTTGACGATAGTGGTTCCAGTACACTGCGTTGTCGATGTTTGGGTATACGTGGTATTCCGTGTCGTGGCTACGGAAGTGTGAAAATGTCAGTGGGGTGTTGATGGTCGTATACTGCCAGGTTGGGCTTAAAGAAGTCGCCCATGAGACTAGGTCGGCGTCAAGGTCTAGCGCTGCTTGGATTAAAGGTGCGACGTTTCCGCGGAAGCCAGTCGTGTTATATGTCTCCTTTATTGTTATGGAGAGATCGTTGTATGTGACTAAGATGCTGTAAAAGTCTTCCATTGTCTGAGAATCCGCATCACCAATGGATTTTGCATATTTTGATAATGCAGCTATCGTTGGCGAGCGATGACAACTCGTTCTGAAGAATATGTTGATCATAGCCTAGGTATGACATGTTAGCACTCCGAGATCAGTGCCTATGATGTGACTGAGGAATAGCTAACAATCTGTAGGCGTGTGCTGGCGAAAAGGCGCCGCCCAGCCGCTGATTCGAATTGCTGCATTCCTCGTAGCTCAAGGAGCTTCAACGCTCCTCGGGCGTGATTTAGCCAAGCGTCCATCATCTGTGATTGGCCTGAGATAATCTGTTTACTAGGGATTAACAACCCACCTACAAGCACCGATTTTAGCCAGACACATTACCTCGTACATGCTCAGCGTGACCACAGCCCCCAAAGTGGAGTCCGAAGTAGCTAATACTGCATCCTGAAGACTCGTATTGGTGGCCCGCAAGGCTTTGCTGTACTCCTCTGCAGCCGATCGTGCCAATTCAGGCCGGTGGTAGATCCTCGACATGCATGCCAGTCCTATGGCTTTCATGGTGGCTTGAAGTGCATCCGAGGGGTCAGTGCGCAGCAAATTCGGCAAATAGCAGAGAATGCCGGGGTTTTGACTAGTGCCGACATAGTACTTGAAGATGTGAGACATGGATTGTTCCTGAATGTGGGTGGTGGGCCCTTCAATCAACGGCGGTGTCTTCGAACTCTCTGCAGTGTCTGCAGAGGGGGATCGAGCGGCCTTGCGGGTACTGGCAGCCCGGGCCAAGGCCTTGGTGGTGACAGCGGCCGTTTGATCAAAGAAGCGAAGAGCTTGGAGGTCTTGGTACCCGGGGCATTCTTTACCTATCCGCAGACATTGGGAGCATGCAGGTCTCTCCTGGTCGCACTACTACAGGGTCAACAGTCAATCATCCAGGTGTGGTGCATCGACGTACTTTTAGGCGCCGCTTCCGGCATAGAGCACACCCTGGGCTGGGCTTTCCTCTGTAAACCATGGTCGCCTGAAGGGGTATGTGGTTCGGAAGGTGTAGCAAACACTTGAGATCATCCCCGCTTTAAAGGCCCATGCTGAGTTGTCGGGGTCGGAGCTTGTTACGAAAAGGAGACTAGAAGCAGAGCAGTTCCGTCTTCAGCCTCGCTTCAGCCGCGTGGCATCAGGGCTAGATTGGTTCCACCGAGCCTCCATAGCTGGACGAAGCGTATACTCCAATCAGCTAGCCACTCATAGGTGTCAGATTGAGCTTAGCAATGTTGGCGTCGGCTCGAAGAAGCTTGTTCCTGAACCAGTGAGAGGGGAGTCATGCTGTATCATGAGTGGCTCGTTAACCAATTCCGAAGAGTCTTGTTTGTTTATTAACTCAGGAGATGTGGCTTCAACCGGCAATGGGGAATGGTTACCGCCAGAGTGATGAGTCTCTCGCTTGTAACTGACCTAATTGACCACCCCCACTTTCCCCTCTGTTCGAGCTTGTCCTAATGCAGTAACCAGTTCGGTACTTACGGTGTATCCTGAAGTAGCGTTGAGGCCACAATGACCCTAGCTACTCTCCAATCGACATGTGTCTTTCTTAAGCACGAAACGTCTGCGATAGTCCCGGCTATTCCTCTTGCAACGACTATTTCTAGGGCTAATGCCCATGTGTCATTATTCTGAGAGGCGCATCTTAATAGAGACCATTTGAAAGGATCTTTTGAAGTGCTATTGTCTTCTTTAGCCCTCTGCTTGCTATGTCTGGAAGTTGATATATACTAGTATAGAATCCCAAGGAGCGTCACTGGCAGTGAAAAAGCCCAGTAGGTAAGTAGTGATATACACTTTTACGACCCTATTATAGCTAGTCATATACACTATAGCATACACATTCCAAATTTCCGCCCAATATGATCAACCAGTAAACACCCCTCAAATCTCTGCCACAGGAGTCCCAATCCCACCAGATGCGAGTACAGTGGAGGTAAGATTCGCACTTGCATGCAGCTTCGCATTCAACTGCGCACTGTAGCGAGTATCCACCTCCTCGGGCCTGATCAACCTTACCCTCGCGACCGTCGCCTTCTGATCCGTATCACAGGTGCCATTGGCACAACAAGCGGGACTGTCATCCGTGCAGCCATCCTCATTGCAGCTGCATTCGGCCTTGACACTGTGGCCGTACAGCAACCACTGCACACATCCGCCCTTGTTGGTTCGAATGACCATTCCACCGCCGTACATGTCTGCGTGGTCGTCTCCGCATCCTGAGCTGATCTTTTGGAAGGTTTCCACGCACTGTGTGAGTATGTCATGTTAGCAAAATTGCTAATAGCAGAAAGGTCGAAGAGATAGTAAGTTCATCACTGAGAAAATGGAGTTGATATATACGTACTGAATCACCAGAAAATTTGAATGTCTTCTCGTCTTTGCAGCCTGATTGATCGTCTGCCCATTGGATAGACGCTACTACATTGGTTCCGTAGGGGTCGGAGTAGACGGTGGTGTATGGCGGGCCGTCGGGGGCGAGGGAGTTGCCCGAGTCGCATAGGGAGGTTGCTACGGATTTAAGTTCTTCTGCGTCGAACGTGGCGTATGAGCTGTCGTGATGATCTTTGAAGCAGTAATACTTTCGCGTATCCGACTCGCCGCTGGTGGGTAGGGGTAGTGATGTTGTATGGGAGGGTTCAGAAGTGGTGCTGGAAGAGGAGGAGGTTGTGCTAGTTGTGCTGGTAGTACTAGTAGTTGTTGTTGGAGGCTCTGTTGTTGATGCCTCACTGCTGGCAGTGTATTTGTTATCCGTACCAAGAGTTGGAATTGGTCCGTTAGGATCCCAAGTCCCCACTGTGCCTACATACATAGACAATGGACATAGATTTGTCGTCGTTTCCGTAGTGGTTGTTGTGCCCTGGGCCTCGCATCCTAGAACAGTCGAACATTGCGTAGTGAAGCATGTTGTCGCGCGTGATGTGTCACCGTAGTTCGTGACGGAGCATCCCACTGCACAGTCGGTGATGGTTGTGCTTGTTGTACAGCTGGTAGGGCTTGGAGTAGTGGATGGACTCGTATCTGTACCTCCGACACAAATGCCTTCAGGGTCGAAGCACTCGCAGCCATTGCCACTGCAGCTGCTGCAGCCGCCAGGATCCGTACAGCCACAGCTTTCCCCGAAACAACCGCATGTAAGGCCAGTACAACCACTGCATCCGGCTGAGGAGCAGGTACAGAATAGAGCTGAAAGACCGGAGCAGCCGCATCCAAGTCCGAGACATGCCGTGCAGTGTGCGCCTTTGCAGCCACAGTGTCCGTTGGAGCAGGCGCAGTCTGTCCCCACGCAGGCACTACACTGCGAACCGGTGCATTGACCAGAACTTGTATCACAGTCTCTTCCAGTGCAGCTTCGACAATTGTCTCCGACACACCGTCCAGAATGGCAATCCTTCCCTGTGCATCCATTACAGTCGTTGCCTGTGCACTTGCCATTGTTGCAATCTTGACCCGCACAACTACTGCAGCTATCGCCTGAGCAATTGCTCCCTCCAGCAGTAGAGCAATCACTGCCCGTGCAACCGTCATAGCTAGTACAAGTGTTGCCTGCGCAGAGACCTGATGCACAGTCGGCACCACCGCAAGTTCCCTCCCAGCAGTTCGGACCGTTACAAACGCCGTCACTACCACAGTCAGGTCCAGAACAGCCCAAGGCAATGCAGTTGTCTCCGTTACACTTGCCATTACTGCCACAGTCAGGGCCCACACAGCCGGATGTCACGCAGCCTGTGGCGACGCAGACTCCGTCTTTACATCCTGGACCGATGCACCCGCGGACGGTACAATCCGTTGGGCCTGTGCACATGCCGTTGAGACAGCCCGTCCCACTGCAGCCGAATGAGGCACACATGAGTCCTGTGCATTGCCCATTCTTGCAATCAGGTCCCTCACAATGACCATTTGTGACGACTGGCCACGTCTGGTCTCCGGTAGGGACAGACGTGGATGAACTTGTCGTGCTGCTGCCAGTGCCACTCCCGCCGCCGCCGGCGCTTCCGCCGTTAGGACACCACGCGGGCGGGGATGGGCAGTACTGACCGGCACCTCCACTGGCAGTGGGAGAAGGTGCCACGACACATGTTCCAGTGGGGGATTCCAAATACCCGTTGAAAGCACTAACACACCATTCATAGTTCCAAGTGCCCGGGAACAAGAAATACTGATCACTACAGGTGGTCTCCACTGTCGCATTCTGTGCCGTTAACACGCTGCCAGGGTCGTTGACATTCCGCGACCACAAACGGTATCCTGCCGCGTCGGCCGACTTGCTCCAGGTCATATGGACGGTGGTCGGGTCATTCGCCACGATCGTAAGATCAGTGGGCGTGGAAGGCGTGCCAGCACCAGGAACTACGCCCGTGACCACTTCGGGGAAACCTTCGCCTGCTGCATTCCAAGTCTCAATAGCCAAAAAGTAGTAATGGCCTGGCGTGAGGTTGTCGATGTGCCCGGAGGTGCCCGTGAAAGCGCCCCCAGTGATGTAAGAACAGTCCTCTGACTTGTCCCAGTAGAGCACATTGTATTCGATGATCGAGTCTGTGTAAGCTCCTGTTGGAGGATCCCAGGAGATGTCGAACCCGCTGCTGGTGGGTTTGACCACCACGTTACGAGGAGCGGCCGCTGTCTGCGGGTGTGCCGTCGCGGACAGGACCGAAGTCCAGTCGCCCTTAATGTTGTCACCCGCACTGGCGCGGACCTTGACTTCGTAGACCCAGCCGTCTTCTGGCCAAGTTGAATCCCAACGAGCTGCACTAACACTTCCTGCCGAGAAGTCGGTGATGCCGCCTTGAATTCGCGACGAGACATCGTAGCTATATGCTCCGTATACTACCGACGTGGAGGAAAAACATCAGTTACTCAACGGTCAGATCGGCTTGGAGGGGAATTACTTACTTACCAGCGTCCCATGTTGCCGTGACTCCCGTAGCACTGCTGAACACCTGGAAGTTGGACGGCACGGGGAGAGGTCTTGCGGGGATGCTATCCGGAATAGATAATGGCGAGCTTCCAATCTTGAAATCATTCACCAAAGTGAGACTGAAAGCGCGAGCTATCTGATACTCGCCCGCGGCATCTGGATGAAGCCCATCATAGCCCACGGGGCACGCACTCGGCTCACACTCGTAGTTCTCTTGCAGCTCCACCAGGTGAATGGGGGAATCCGTCGTACTCCATTCCGGGATCGCATCTCGCAGTAGCGCATTGTAGATATTGGTACTGATGGGCAGATCCTCGCGGCCCCCAATAAAGCTGCGCTGCGGGACATTGGCGACGGCAAACTTAAGATTCGGATTGACGGCGCGGGCATTGCTGATCAGGGTTTGGATGCTGTCCAGGGTGCCAGGGGCATCACTATAGAACCAACCCATGTCATTGAACCCCAGCATCAACAGCATCAAGTCAGCTGGATGGGCACCGAGGACATCGCGAATCAAGCCCTTGTCGACAGCCGCCGCACGGCCCCAGACGGCGAAATGATGGCGATCGAAGTCGGCCGCCACGTCCGCCGCGTACCCGCCGCTGGTCTTGGGCTGGTCGGAGGCGGTCTCTTCCCCGTAGAGCGGCGGCGGAGTGGGCGGTTCGGCAGGATCCGGCTGCACGGTCCCTGTGTAGGGCCCCACAAAGGTGACGGCAATGTCTTGCGCCCGGAACCACTCCCAGATCCGATACCTCCACGTGTAGTCCCCTTCTTTCCCCTGGGTCATGGAGTCCCCTACGATCATTACTCGCAGGGTGCCTTCGTCTCTTCCGACAAGTCCCTGAACCCTGTCTGCCACGTTCGAGTCTGGTTCTGTCTTGATCGAGTTTCTCATCGCAGTCATCATGTCTAGAATGTCTTGCTCCCCTTTCCCATCGTTGGTCTGCATGGGGGGCATCAGACTGGCAACCTGTGTCCAGGTTTCGTAGTCCTGGATAGTTGTGGGCAGAGGAATAGGAGGCACGCTTGCTAACTGAGATAGCTGAGCGGACACGCGGGATTCGACTACGACGGCAGAGGAGTATGCTATCGTCTGTGTAGTCGTAGGGGTGGTGGCACTCATCGCAGTACTGGTACCGCCACTAGTGGACACACCAGCACGTGAGAGCAGTCGCCATGGGAAAGAATTGGCGTAGGCGGTGGGGAAAAGAGTGTACAAGACGCCGAGATACACACAAAGATAGTGAATTACTCCACGGTGTCCTGGGGTTGAAGGCCACCAGGGCTGGCTAGTCTTGGAGCCAGGCATCTTGAATTTTTGTTTTATCCTTCTTTTGTAATGGAGCTCGATTTGTGTAGACGGCGGCGATGCTCGACCCTTATGTATTCAGCCGTGCTACTACGGATGACTATACCCGCAAGCTTTACAGCCGTATGCACTAAACCAAGTCACCCAAATATCTCTGTAGATAATATTTTCTCATGTGTAAATTGAATCCCGCGCCAAGATGAGAAATGTCGGTGACTGATAGTACGTTGGCATTGAGCGAGGAACGTGCTGGGATGTTGGGTTCCTATCCACCCGCTGTAACGTCGCGACCATCTAGTGTGTCGCTTAATTCAGGGGCCTGAAATTCCTCCTGTTTAGCGTGCTACGATAGGTGTTCAAGCGGAGCCACTAAATCAAGGGCTCAGATGCAGTAGGTGTGCCGTGGATGGATATACTAACTCCCAGCTAGTAACGGAAGGACGCTACGAGCCCATAGATAGCCGTTATCATAGATTGTCTGTATTGCCAAGCCCACGCCATATGAGCCAGTTCGTCCGAATTCAATCTAAGAGTAAGCTAAGTGACCGCGGCGCAGGCCGAGGCTGATACGCACCTCATATGACCCGTGTAGTCACACATTTTAATTAAATCTCTGGTCAATGGCGATAATGAGTGTCTCACATTCCCAGCCAATCCACGTTTGGCAAAAGCTTGATATCTCAGGCCCGAGCGTTAGTGATCCCGCCGGAGCGACATATACCACCAGCTTTGATGTGTTTGCCAAGAGTCACTAGCCTGACCCTTCAGAGAACCATACTTAATCCCGCTAGGAGCCTACTAGGATCTTTCAACCCAGGACCCTTTTCATTTCCCCGACTAAGAAAGGTCAGCGCTAACTTTCTCTACGGTCATGGTGTCCCTGACTTTCGAAAGCCTTCCGGTGGAGTTAGTCGAAGAAGTTGTTAGTCGGCTAGACCTCCACGATCTCTGTGCACTGCGCCTGACTGGACGCACTGTCTCTTCAAAATCATCCAATGCTACCTTTCGGAACTATTTCCTTTCCAAGAAGTTGGAAATTGCAGAAGCCCCGCTTGAAAACTTTGCTCTCGTCACCAAACCAGGACGTTTCGGCCTCTGGATCCAGCATCTCACTCTGTATGCAATCACTAAAGATGATGATACCGGAGGAATATCCCTCGCCAGTCCCAGGGTGATCGAGTTACTAGCGCAAGGCTTCCTGAACATACGCGATAATTCTCCGCATGGTGAACCCTTGTCTATCACTCTCAAGATATTTGGGGACGGCTATATGAGGGATTTTGCTGCTCCAGTGTTCAATGTGACCCTGTCAGCCCTCAGGGGTACTGGACTACCCATTAGATCATTGGATGCGTTTGCGGAAGGTTATTCCCACAACCACGGGGGTTTCTGTAGTATCCCTTTCAGCGAGATCACGGGGGCATTTTCCGGCGCCGGCGCGGCAGACCTACACAGCCTTGCGAAGACCTTCCAGCCGTGCACGAAATTTTGCCTAAGCTTGGCGCACCATATACATACAAAAGACTCCGATAGTATCCGAGAACTACATAACGACAATGAAGACGAAGATTTCGAATTGCCACCGAGTTACGAGGAAGCCAGAGTAAATACCCAGAAACTTTGTGACCTTGTGGGCCTATGCCCCACTCTCCAAGAGCTGTATTTGGTGTGGGAGTATGATGACTTCGAAGAGACAGCCGGGGTCAGGGAAGAATTGTACTTCTTCTCTCGGTTAGCAGAATCATGCCAATTCCCGAGCTTGAGGCAGTGTACATTGCACAATATCCGAATGTCCGAGGAAGCGCTTCTAACCTTCTTTCGTCAACATACTCGGCTGGTGTATTTGAGGTTGGAATATGTATCCGTTGAAGGTGAATTCGACGACCTATTCAGACTTTTGTCCACTTCAATGCCGGAATTGAATTACTTGCATCTCCGAGGCCTTTATTCTTCGTCTGGGACCCTTCGCTTCTTGAACGAACACCCCGAGAATAGACTGAGACATCCAACCGGTCGTGCACCACCTGGTATAATTCGGAGAGGGTCCGACGCTAGGCGGCTGGTCGTAGCCAGGGCAAGGTAGAAGGACATGGATCCTCTATAGATACGAGGAGATGTGTACATAACCCCCAAGTAATAGTGGAATGATCCTTCGCGTGTAAATAGAACCCCCTCTTCCAAGAAAAGAGAACAAGCACTAATACAGAAAGGGCATCGGGTTAGACTCGTAATATAAAGCATGCTATCAACAAGATTCTCACCCCCGCCCCTAGTCAGCAGCTAAAGTAGTTGATGTAACTTCGGTTCCAGCGAAGGTTTTGATGTACATGAGCCTGTTCCCCCTTTTTCTTTGCTCTAGTTTGAAAAGGTCAATGGTGTGAGAAAGACTAATATCCCCACCGTATTTCAAGCCGGCCCTTCCCCATGACTACCACCACAGTAAGCAGTCTCATGCTTTACAAAGACCATGTTGCATCTTGCGAAGGGGCTACTTTGCCTCACGTTGGTGCCCTCATGGGCACTTATTGGCGCTAAGGTACTCCCCACTGACGCCCCAGTCGATGATATCCGGGCCGTGCCATTTGGATTGGAGAACAACAAGAACCGTGCTTGGTACCCTAGAGCGTAAGCGCCATACCATTTGAACTCAGTATCCACCCTTCCATATAGCTAATCACTCATGTCCTAGCGATCCTCAGTGCGATGTTAACTGGGATGACGACCCTGATGTCCCCAAATGCCGGATCTTATGCGCCCCTACACAGAGTGATTGCTCGAATAGCCTTACCACACGCAATTATAGGATTCGTCTCAACCACACAGCAAGTGATGGTATTAATGATGACCGTGATCACATTTTCACAGGACTCTATGATACTGAAAAGACGAGTCACAGTAAGCGAGCCTTTCAAGCCTTGACCCTTGCGGAGATACGCGAGTACGTTGAAAAACAAACGGACCCGGATACAGCGGACCGATATTTTGGCGACTTAATTGGGCTCGTGGAATTCGATGATGATAACCTTTCAGTGGATTCCTCCGTCGCCCAGCAAATAACATTTGGAAATGCCCCTTTCCAAGTCGGCACGACTGGTCTCGAAGGGTGTACTGTGGTGACTGTTGTATCCAAGCGAGCCGTCTACATGGTAAGTATTCATCAAATGAACATGGCTTAATGTTAGTGTGTGTTATAGTTTACCACTGGCTGACGAACTCCGTGATAGGCGCACTACTGGGAACGCGAAAGTTGGACTAGCTCGTACTGGTTCCCAAGACGCATCATCAACTTTATCGCTGGCCGGAATCCAAATCAGGGAGTTGGTCCTGCCCTCAACCCGGCACTATTCAACCGCCCTACCGACGACACGCGGATCTATATCATGCACCCCCGCAAGGGTGGGAAAAAGGCGACGTACACTTCGCCAAATTACACAAAGAAGTTTAAACAATTGAGAAGCTTGCTCAACGAAGAGCTTCTTCCCGGCGTGCCCACAGCGACTTGGTTCTATATCCCTGTCGCCAACCCGGAGGACGTGCCCGATCCCATTGCTGATCAGCCCTGGAGACGACACGCCGTCTTCCAATATGACCCGCAAGCGCATGGTACAAGAAGCAAAGGATGGAGACTCTTCTACGAGGATCATTATTTCGATGATACAAACCCCCCTCCTGGCACTGAATCTGCCAATGGAATTCCGGATATCCCATGAGCAAGATCTGTCTACCCGCGAAGCGATGCTAGAGCCGCGCTGTGGGTGTGTGTGCTTGACAATATACCACAGTGTAATGAGCGGAATTGTCTTCATAGCTTCTATTAGCGAGTGGTAGAGTGTTTAACCATCTATATAAACAGAAGTTTTGCCTCCTTCTGTTGTCTCAATCTTCCATTGTTTTAAGGCCATGTGATTCCTGTTGAAAATAATCAAAGGATTCCCAATAAGGGTATTTCGGACGATCATAAGGAACAAAGTTATGTAGATGAAGTATTTGCATAAAATCTGAGGCGAACATCTTCAGGACCTTCACTCAAGGTCTTATAGTTACTACATGCATTTTGCCTTCATGGAAGAAGATGCCGAGTATAGTGGTAGTGATGCTACTGACCAGGGTAGTCAGATTTTGTCATAGCAGTATTGCTGGAGGTTCTCTGCCATGAGACTAGCCCATTCAAGTGTATTGAGAAACACGGTACTTATTGCATAATTTAACGTTGTCGAAGTCATAGGTAAGAGGGGAAAAAAAAGAAGAGAGAGAGACTTCGCTTCTGCTCTGCAAAGGTCTTGTTCCACCAGCCGGACATGAAATATCGAAAATACCATCTCGATAAACGCACACAAACAGTGCTCTTATCGAAGCATCCGCCGGAGTTTGGTAAGCTGACAGGACCTGCAGTCAAGCAGCCTTAGTGTATCCTAGAATCATCTATGCTTCCGAAACCCACCTCCCCCATACAAAGAAATGAAAAAGGAAAAGAAAAAAGAAGCCAACGATTATGCAGTTTTTTGTGCCAGTATCTTGACAGGAGACCAGTTGTATACAGTTTCCTTGCGTTCATCACAAAGACTCTGCAGTTCCGCCTCAAGCTTGGTCACCAGAGGTACAATCTCTTCTGCGCATGTCAGCTTGGTACCGCGCAATATCTCACCAAGGGCAAGAAGATATGTGTCCGTGCATTTCTGAACAAGGAAGCCTTGGAATGATTCTGTCTTTGATTCAAGAATTTCCAGATGTGCTTCTTCCAGATCGCGAGGAAGTCTTGTTGCCCAGCTGTAATATTATCAATAAGCATTATATGTTCTCACACTGAAAGTGACTAGAACAGAAGAGGAAGGTGCCTAGGTCTTACCTGAAGTCCAGACCGACCTTCTGAAATAAACTTGGTATCCGTTCTGCAAACTCAAGAGCCTTGCGCCCTTGCACGGATTGATGAATGAGATCGGCCTCCTCCCACTGGATGTAACCTCCTGGCCCTAGTATGTATTAGCTTGAAACAAGGAAATTGTAGTTAGAGATGGGGATACTCACTCAGCAACTGTTGCAAATGGGAAATTAGCGGCCGGGTGTTGCCATCTCGTATATTACTCGCCCACATCCGGACATGTACAACATCATATTGACCGACAAGTGTGGGAGGGACATTCTTGAAGGCGTCCAACAGCTCTAGTTTGACGTTCCGTGGCCACATATGCTTCGGAGGATATTGAGCCTCCGAGATATCGAAGCCATGCAGTTGCACAGAAGGTGGCATCGACGGGGCTAAGTCAAAGAACCAGATCCTGTACTTGATTAGTGAATATTCATATGTTGGGCCGGGCATACATCGGAACCCGAACAGGATCGATATATGCCCTCGAGTAAGAAAAAAAGATAATGAACTGCATTACCCATTGCCAGTGCCAACTTCCGCTATCTTCATGTCTGGGGTGATAGGAATGTGGGGGTGAAGTGTATATCCAGTGTGAAGCTTCCATAGAAGATGCTGAGCATCCAATCTAGAAACATAATGATCAGGGGATTTTGATGTCAACACTATGTCGCATGGAGATCTTACCGAACTGAATCCGACAGTCCTCTTCCAAGAGGATATAGATCCGAGTCAGCCATTGCCGTCCAAGTAAGTAATGTTTCTGGGTTTACTTTCTCTAACTGAGTGTTGAACCTGAGCATACCAGAAACTGAAGGTGGACGAACTGACCGGTATAAATGTCTATCGACATTCCTTCTATGCAAATCTGGGATCCTCAAACTAGAGATACACCGTCACGTGGACCAACTTTACTCATGTCATCTGCAAGTTCCATGTCGCGCTTAAAGAAATTGTATCAGACCAATCATATACCAAGTCCCCTTGCGTGGATGTACGACAACGCCTTGGGGTACCCCTACTTGAATGATCAACCTTATTGTGAAGAAGTACTCATCATGGTCCAACATGTTAGAGAAACTTGGTCGCACCTGCGAAGATGTCCGTCTCTTCTGTGTGTCTCCAACATGGATAACACCATCCTACGGCTCGATATAGAAGTACCGGTACTTTCGACGGCGATTTCAAGAGGGATTAATGTATGCTATCAACAATCATGACTACCAGGTGTACCACTCACCACACTGGAAGGGATCCAAATCTACCGTTCCTAAACTCTGGATCGAGGTTACACAGATCTCGAGCACGTTGCAACCTGCGGTGAAATGGCCGTTACTATGCCTCTATGTCATTGTATATTCTAATCGCCGTACTATGCGCGCCTTACAGGCCAGTTTCCAACTACCTCTAGCTGCTTTACGTTTTACAGATACTTGGAGCATCCTGCCTGATCTCTAGCAAAACTGCCTTTCCGTCTCATGCCTGTGTCCTCAACATGGAAGTTGGAAGAATATCATTTGGCCCATTAGAGTAAGTTGACGTCAATGAAAAGCATATTATATTCTTCCTCGGTTCAAGGAACAATGCAGCTAGTATCAGCAGTATGTCACACAGCCTTAGGAATTCTGCTCGCTAACAGCCTTTAATGAGCGGTCGCGTTATATCTGAGTGGCTGCTCCGTTCTGGCGTAACGGCTCTAATTCTAAGCAAGCGATAACAGAGAAAGAAGATGGATGCAAGGCAGATAGTTGTTTTATTGTTCGTTACTACTAAGGATGCTTTCTTAATAGGTAGAAGAAAGGAGAGGGCACTACCCGATTGGGTAGGCACGTTGCAGTGGCGATCAGCCCGTAACCTTCCCCTATAGTATCAACCAACGGATTAAGCACATGAAACTACGACATATCCTGATAGTGGCATACCATTCCCTGTCCGAGTACTAACTAGGGATCAGGCGTCCTCATTTTGAACAAATGGCTCGTTTCTTCCTCTGCAGCAGCCCGATATGGTCGCAGCAAACCAGGGATATCCTGCAAGTTGACTTATCTGCATCTGATACCAGATCATTTATGAGTTCATTGCGCGTTTTCTACCAAGCAATTGGTGGGATAGAGGCCGATCTGAACAGATGACCCTAACAACGTTTATCACTTGACGGTCCTTCTTGTCTATCCTGATCATGTGGTGAAGGAGTATATGAAGTCATATCTGCTCATAAAACTGTATAATGTTGCATTCATGTGCGGTCTACAAAAACCCTATCCCTGCCTTAGTATCGTGAGCTTGAGACTAACTGCCGATACGAGAAGGATACAAATATCCTCGTTGGTTTGTTATTGTTCTATACAATATAGTCCCACAGTTTTACCATCATACCCAACAGCTGCAGCAAGCGTGACAACATCAACCGACCCACAATGTCATCCACTCGAATATCAATCACACTCACCTCTCCCTCTAGTGACTTTCTCAAACCAGTCATATCTGTCCTAGAAAGACACAGTGGCTCAGAGTACTACGTCTACGAACGCAAAGACTGCTGGCATGTTGGTCTCGGATCCTACAGATCATTGATAATCGACTCAAGCGGATCGAACATAACAATCTCAGTAGCTGGAGAACCAAGCCATCACTACCCAGTGAAGAAGCCACTACCTGATATAGCGAGAGAATTCCTCCATGAGTATTGGAACCACACAACCAAAGTATACGGACACGTTGGGTTCAACTATGCAGCCCATATTCGGGGCCTGGAATACACACCCAGCAAATGGCCCTTACTAGCATTTATGATACCTCGCATGGAAGTACTCATCGACTCAGATAACATTACAATCACCGGGGATGACACCAAGGAGGTCCTGGAACTATGCGCTCTGCTGAAAGAGACGTGTCGATGTCGCAACGCACCACTTCCCGCTCATGATATTCCACACGTTGACGTAAATGAGAACTCCAGCCAATACAAAACCCTAGTGGAGAAAGCTCTATCACAAATCCAGCAGAACCACTACTCCAAGATAATCTTATCTCGACCCGTCAACCTTCAACACCGAGTGGACATGCCATCAACACTCCACTGTGGTCGTCAATCCAACACACCCTCTCGCAGCTTCTCTCTCCGCCATGGCAGCTACCAAGCCACTGGATTCAGCCCCGAACTAGTCATGTCTCTGGGCAAAGGGGTAGTAACCACCGAGCCTCTAGCGGGTACACGCTCCTGCAAAGGCACAGAAGCCGAAATCCAACGACTCCGGCATGAACTAGAAAACGACAGCAAAGAGATAGTCGAACATGTCATCTCAGTCAAAGAAGCCGTGCACGAAATTAGCCAGCTCTCCGACAAGCCTATGGTGGAGGACTTCATGTCAGTACGGGTACGAGGCAGCGTACAACACCTCGGTTCTCGGGTCTGCGGACGTCTCTCCCCAGATAAAGATATGTGGGATGCGTTCAATGTTCTTTTCCCATCGATTACTGCGTCGGGTATTCCGAAACAGGCTGCGATTGAAGCTATTTCTCGTCTTGAGTCGCAGCCTAGAGAGCTCTATTCAGGCGCTATTTTGATGATTGAGGATGAGAATACCATGGAGGCTGCGCTTGTGCTTCGCTCTGTTTTCCAGGATCGTGATCTTCAGTGGATCCAGGCTGGTGCTGGCGTTATCGCGGAATCGGACCCGTCCAGAGAGTTGACTGAGACTTGTGAGAAACTTGCGAGTATTGCGCCTTTTGTTGTGAGAGAGGCGAAGGGATTGGAGGATAGGATTATTGGGTATCACTGATGACAGATCTCATTCATATATACAATAATCTCATCAGACTGTTGCTTGTGAGTTGTATGTTAGATTGCCTTAACTATATCTGATGGATTTCTTCCTATTAACAACTCTCTCATTCCAGTCTTTCCAATTTGAAAATGAAGTCTAGCCAGAACGCATGCACCTTTCGTCAATCTTATGAATTAAGTTTAGTATAACAAGTTTGAGAGCAAGGTCGAACTACTTCCTGCACTAATTCCAAGGCATCGAAGTAGAACATCGTTTACATATATATATATCATCGAGTATACAAGACAGAACCACATGCCACCTGCTGCAGCTGTAATTAGGCACTACTCATCGATAGTATTATATTATCCTATGGAGGGGGTTTTTATATAACCGAATCAAACCATTAATTTAGATGTAGTAGTAGTAGTATCATAAGGGACTGACTGGAGAGTGATCTGAAGAATATACCAATCGCTTTCAAGTTCTCTTGCTCAGTAGTAAGAGCAAATATATAATCCCACACACGCTTTCAGAGAGTTCACCATTACTTGATAAACTGACTCGCAACAGTGTTGAAACCGTGCTAACAAGTCAATATTGTAACACTCATCTTAGGAAGGACACTGCTTATTGTCATTGTAATAGCACAAGGGTATTTAGGCACCCAATTTACACCCGTCTGCCTATCGTGCGGTCAATATAGACAGCTCGATTTTTATTATACAACCTATATAAAGCTAAACTACTGACTAATGTATTCGCTGTCTGGTATATATTAAAGAAGAGAAAGGTAAGAGCTGTACAAGCAAGCGTATACCGGCCGTTGAACCCATGTCTATCGTGATGAGCATGCGATCAAATAAAAAAAAAAGTATACAATGTATGCGCGCCCCGAAGGAGGCGCAGGGTAGAGCAAGATAGTCCGGTCTCTGGTGGTAGCAAGGCTTCAACAGTATCAGCTGGTCATCCACGAAGTGACACGCTGAGCTCCGAATCTTCCCATAAACTGCAGTCCAGTACTACCCATCGGGAAGTAGCTGACAAGGTACCAGAGCAGGGCAGCCAGCTGAAACACCGACGAGATGAGCGTCAACAGGGTTGAATGAAGCTAGAGGAGAAAAGACGATTAGCAATTGGTATTCCCACTGGTGTTCTTGGTGTGCACGGGCCCGACTGGGGTTTACAGTAGCGCATGCACATCCAACCTGCTACTGTTGCAGGACGATGTGAGAGATCATATTCACGACCGGGGTGGCGGTGCATTATGATGTCATATCGTCGGCTGAAGGCTCCGAGTGTACGCGCACGACCCAGGTATGCAAGATCCTCGAAATCGACAGGTTGGTATGCGATCGCAGAGGCGTACGCTCAGATAGTACAGGCATACACAACATGGTCCGGCAGGGAAGATCCTGGGCAATGTAGCCAGAGCCAAACAAACAGGGGTACTTACTCCGATAGCAAAGTACAAAGTCATGGCGATCGAGCCGAAATAGGCCGCCGTGAAGGGCAGACGTGGTCCCGAGACCAGATGTTTCGCGTAGACCAGGGGTCCCATGAGGACTGCCCATGATAGGAGAAAGAGCAAGGAACCAACCGACCACCTAGTTCAAGAGGTAAAACCGGTTCGATCAGCCACAGATTCACAGGAAGTTCCTTGGCAAACAGTACGGGTGAGGCGTGATGGAGGGTTCAGCACGGACGCTGGAATGTAGTCGGATCGGAGACGCGTGGTGCATAGTCCCCAGCGAGGAGGGCATGACAAGCACTCCACCGCCTCGTGCCCTCCCCCGCGGTGGGTGGGCGAAATAGGGGATGTATTGGGGTTCGATAAAGATCCACGGGGGATCTGTAGAGCAACTTACAGGATGGCAAATTTGCGGGGTTTCAGTGATAGGACCGGGAATAGGAAAAAGCAAAGGAGGAAGCAGACGGCGGCACCAAGGTTGCATGCGATGAAAATGAGCATC